CGCTCTGTTTTTCTCTCCCACTCATACATCACATCTTAATTATTAGTCCCCCTAATGTGTTTTTCTGAGATTTACTCTTTCATATTTCAAGATAGACAAAGCATCCAGTAATTATTGTCTGTCACCATTGCTGTGGAGATAATATCTACAGTCACATGATGGCCTCCCAAGGTGACCAGGAAGTGGTTTTACGGCAACATAGGCTGGGGGGTTATGGGTAAAAGTGGCAGTTGTGTGCACGGCTTCATTTCTTGATTTATGTGGAGGCTGTAATGACATCATATTCAACAGTGGAAAGGGTAATAAATTAGACATCAGCTAATGGAGGCTGAGGCTCTTTCTTTGTTAGCTCCTGCTCTCCCCTTCGTTTCGCTTCTCTTCCCTTCTTTTCTCTTCTCACAGGGTAACCCAATCTCTCCATTTTGCCTGTAAATTAAGAGCACTCACATTTACATTGAAACTGTATAGTTATTCACAAGGAAATTATTGATAGCAAGATTCTAACATTTAGGACTTTACCTATAATGCAAAGTTACAGTGCTCCTCTATTACTTACTGTTACTATATTATAATATGAATGTTTTGTTATTTTAATATCCACGGTCTAGTAATATTTCTGTTGTCTAGTGTGTATTAGATCACCATTCTATTATAGATTAATTAAAATTATGAAAATAGTCAATAAGTCAACTCTTTATTTGTTATCTATTGCTATGTTGTTTTTTTGACGGGGCGTAGGGGGTCAGTCTTTTTTCAATAATGTATAGAAAACCAAATTAACTGGAAAAGCTCAAGTTTATAAATACAACTTACATTTTTAACTAATGCGGCTGATTTGTGTTCTGGTTCAGTTTTGTGAAACTGCTACAACCTAAAAATAATTTAAAAATTCTCCAAAAGTGTGTTCCCCATCAGAAAAACAAAAAGTTGGAAATCCCCTCTTGCTCTTCTTTAACTTGTAGACCGTCACTAGGCACTAACTGACATAAATAAGGCCTGGCTGAATGAATCTGGAGAAACACACAGCTGCACTACGGTCAACAACACCATCTAAAGTTTGTGTGGAGGTGCACAGAAAGATCAGGCATCCATGAAATGAAAACACTGTCAACATTAGCTAGTTTCTTCACCCATAAAGACCACAGATAAACAAATCTGTAATGAATATTGTCTCATCATCCGCATACAAACAGTGAAGCATCACCTCATTTTGTGACAGGCAGGTTGGTTTGGTTGTGACTTGGCATGAAGCTCTGTCAATTACTCATTGCAGCGCAAACAAACATTTTCACTGAAAGAAAATAATGAGTTGGAGAGAAAAGTGTAAAGCATGTATATAAAATATTTAGTAGTAATTCCTTGTAAGAGCTCCGGTAAAACAAATAAAAATCCAATTAAAAAGTGTTCACAATACAACTGAACAAAGCTGCTCTGCTTACCTGTGCTGTATTCTTCACAGGCTTTGTTACTCATTATGGAAAAGGATTACTCTTGGGACCAACACATAGACATGGCTAGATACAAAGTTGGTTAAACATGATCCATAATTCATACTTCAGTACGTTTTTGACAAAGAAAATGTAATTATTTAAAAATGTGTCCTTTATAGAGTCAGAAATGTCTCATTCTGTCAGTACTTTGTGGAGTAAGTTTGGGCAGTTTTGAGTCCTCTAAGTCATCTTAAACACATCTGTGTTAGCTTCGCACATCTGGATTTTGGGACTTTCTTTTTTCTAGATTTGCTTAAGCTCGGTGAACTTGGAAGGAGACCATCTGTGTCTTAAAGCCATTCTAAAAATAAACATCAGGAGTCATGTCTGGGCTTTTGACTGGGCCACTCAACACTGTTGTTCTTAAACCTCGCCACAGTTGGGTTTTGGTTGTACAGTATTCTTTGGGTCATGTCCTGTGAGGATGTAAATTGGTTCCCCTTTTAAAGAGGCAGTGAAAGTCACTACATGTCTCCTGTTCTTTTCAGTCTCCCATCATGCTTTACAGTGGGATGTTAACACCTGACATATACTGCAGCATGACTGAGGAACTCAATATTACAACAGATACATTGTGTGTAGTGATCACAGCCATTGTGCTTAATTTCCTGGCCATTTTTCTGGCTGTTGCATTGTTTTATTGTTTTTTATTAAACTAGATTGAAGCTGAATGTCATTGAATATGGTAATCACTGTTATTAGGTAGATTCAGCCCCACATCTTTAATCTGAGGTGAATTCAGTTTAAAATGATCTTATATTCCCTGTTGTCTCTCTGTTTTGCTCATGGAGTCATACAGGTTAAAACATTTTCACTACCAGCAACTGAGTCTTTGCCTCAGTTTGAACTAGGTGAACCATCTGTTCATCTGATCTGCATCTTCTCTTTAACTTTTTTGACACTAATCATTTCATCACAAAAGTCAGAACACATCTTAAGAGATGGGAGTCTTGAATAACACACTGTCACTGAGTAAATAGTTCTTGATTTTAAGGATCTAATTGAAATGTGCCATGATCAGGTAAGAGAAAGGATGTGCTGATATAACCAGTGTAGATACAGTAAGTGCTGACAGAGGAGAATACATGTTGCATCATCTGACAGTTTTTGCATAACTTGTACAATCCTCTGCCCTCTACTCTAAACTATTAAGTGGGCTTTCTTTGTTTTGTTTGACAGGTATTAGGAAAGTACAAGATGGGTTATTTATTTCAACAGATTGTTGCCTTGCTGCCAACATACCAATTAAGATGCAGTATAAACACTACCATTTGATCTCAGTGGCTGTGAGAACTTAGTGATGGCTGATTGGATTTTTTTCCAAAGCAGCAGGAGATTTCATCATTGTAATAGAACTGACTTTGATCATTTGACTTCCAAACTCACATCAAAGTCTTGCTTGCTCAGGAACAAAACACACACACAGACTGCTTGTTACGTAATAGTGAGCATGTACCATAGCTATACTGTCAGTAACAAAGCTATTGACATCTCTTTGATCACAGGGATTGCCTCTCTGAGGAATACAGCCGAGAGGATTAAGTTACCTGTCTCCTAGTGTGTGTTTGCTGTGCGCCAATTAGAAGAGACAAATATATGTGTTGTTTGTGGTTACAGTCTGCCATAGGGATTGGCTAGTGTGTGTACAGTGCAGTGTTCATGTTGATATCACAGGCTTTATGGATTGAATACAGGACCTTCATCTGTATAGTTTAGTTTTACATTCATTTTTATTTTGTACAGTAGCATTTCAGCTGTTAACAGTTGACTTTTTCCTAAGGTGTTTGGGTGATTGCATCAGTCGCCCACAAAGGACAAAAAAACCTAAACTTCCATGTTATTAGCTGCTTATGTGTCGGACATTGCAGCAGAATGCAAAGATGAGTGAGTTTCAGATCTGAAAGCCTGATTTATGTCTGAGAACATCTGGCGAGGGAAATGAAAAGACAATGTGTTTTTGGGCTACGCACACTTCATGTCCAACTGTGTAATAATATATAGGGAACAGTTCAGTAAAATGATCCTTTTTTTCTGTTGTGTGTTCACAGACGGTCAGAGGAGGAAGTGGATATGGACAAAGTGACGGCTGCCATGGTGCTGACAAGCCTCTCCACCAGCCCGCTGGTCAGGAGTCCACCTGTCAAAGTCAACGGTGAGTATCATAACTATTAAACAACTGATTAAGTGGGTATGTCCTTTTGACACACTGGGTTCTGACAGTAAGATTCAACAAATACATTCATCCATCAGTTGCACATGCCCATCTATAATCTGTAACCTGTAATTTATATGTTGTGCTGTGCGCTGACTTTTCATCCCCTTGCAGCTGTTATCTTGTCAATGCATATGGACGCTTAGGTTGATACATTACTGCCACCGGCTGTGCTTTAGGATTCTGTCATCAATGACTTCTGCAAATCCACAGAAAAGCACAATGAGTCTGGATCTCTGCCACTCGTCACAGTGGCGGAAATCCAAAGTGCCCCCGCAACTGCGATCACATGCAACCACTTAGATCATCAGTGCAACCAACTGACTGCCCATTTGCAGCCAACCTTCCAACCACCATGCACGTGTCTATCACAGTCACACACACATGCGCTCAGATGTTAAACGTACATCACATACATCATGCACACATGCACAAAGTGGGGTTTAAATACCAACTGTATAGATTTATCGTAATAAAGTCATACAGACGTCACACCCATGTACACATGTTGGAGATCATGCAATGTGCATTTACATCAGTACACATAGTAGGTTCATTCACAGTGTGCTGAGCTTCTAGTCGAGCCTAACGCCATGACATTCATATGACTCATAATTTGCCATATACAATGGAATTTTCTTATCTTGATAGTATTAGCACTTCTTCAATCATAATATTTGCTTTTCTGTACCATAAAACCAAATGCATATTAGAGCAGCTTTCTTATTGTGAGTAAAGAAAGAAGCGAGACACCCCACCAAGTAGCAGCTTTACTAAACCAAACAAACTAGGTCTGCTCTTAACTTTCTGACTCACTCTTTGTCACACACATATAATTTCTCATACACACTCATGTACACACACTAAAGTTTTCCCCAGCCTCAACCTTCACAAAGTGAAATGCCTTTTGTAGCTGATATTCAAAAGAAATGTTTCTTTGATCTAAAAAAACAAGACCTTGGAAGTGTCTCAGGGGAGTCACGGAACAAGAAAGTAACCTTTATTTTCTCGTGTCACAGTCAACGGTAGTGCATCTGAGGCTCTTTTGTGTGAAGTGCAAATACAGTTGTCTGAACTTAATTGAGTGTCTTGATCTTCCCTTATTGACAGAGGAACACAGAGATGTTTTGTTCTGTTTGTATCATCCATAAATATATTTATATGACTATGAATAAGTTGGATTTTTTTTCAAGGTTTACTCTAATGCTTTACCTTTCTTCATCGCTTCCCCTTCCTTTCCCTCATGTTCTCCATTTTTCCCCTCCACATCTCTCCTTTCTTCTCACCTCTATCTCCTTAGAAGGTCTGAGTGGTTCGTGGAAGGACAACGGCTCAGCTGGCCCCTTCACCCCGTCCAGCAACAGCTCTTCAGGGGGCTACTGGAGCTGGTCTGCCCCCAGTGACCAGTCCAACCCTTCTACACCTTCCCCGCCACTCTCGGCTGACAGCTTCAAGCCCTTCCGTGTGCCCAGTCTGGGCGGTGTGGGACCCGGCCCTGCGGGGCCTGAAGACCCCAGCCTGGACGAGCAGGATGGAAGCAGCCTGCTCTTCGATGAGCCCATCCCTCGCAAGCGCAAGGTGAATACTGTAGTCCACAATGAAAGGCCAGTTCTGCGGGCAGTAAGAAAACAACAGTTTCTCATTCTTCATCCTCTTTTGGTTGGCAAACATCAACATTGTTCACAACAACCATCATCTGGTTATAGGTGGTACAGGGTCATTTACTCCACTAAAACTCAGCTGGTTAAACCTCCTGCTCTTCATGATCACTTGTCATGTCTTTAATGTAGCTGAACTTCAGTTCTCATTTACATACTCTGTTTCTGTTCACAGACAGCTGAATTAGCACAAAGAGTGATTTAATTATGGTTTTAAATGCTACCCATTAACTAGGTAAACCAGATCATTCCTGCGCTGCAGCACTGAGACGCCAATCAAATGACTATTTTAGGATGTTTTTTTATTTTGTCATAAAATAACTAAAACAGGACACGTGTATCCAAATATTCACCAAACAAACAAAAATACACAGAATCAATCTAACCCTTGATTAGTAAGATGGCTGAATTGGATTGTGTCATAGTAACATACACAGTGAGTGTCAAAGATTAGGTTCCAATAAGGGAAGAAATGGGGTTGGCTGTTTTGATTGATTTATATATTTATATATTATTTATAGTGATCCCAGTGTGATCATTTATTGACAATAAAAACTTTATAATGTTCAAACCTAAAAATAGATTTAAATAATTACTCAGAGGGATGTGAAAAATACAGTTGCATTTTCAGATTAAGCTATTTTATTTGAAGTAGTTTTCAGAATAATGAACCTTAAAAGAGTTATTTTAAAGGCCATTTTCTCTCCAGCTGCAAGTCCCAACTAAATTGTCCAGTTACCACCTCATTCCTCACACTTTCTAGTAAAAGTAAAGTAAAAATGATCATGACCTTATGTGCCCCCAGATGGTCTCAACAGTACTTTTCTTTTATTTCAGTGTGGATCTGTCTAAAGGCTTTAAAAGTAAATGGCAGCAGTTCTCCTGATAACAGGTGCATTGCTCGATAAGAAAAGGGTCAGGAGCTTGTCTTTGATGTGCTATCAGATATTCACAAGCTGGTTGAACACACTGTGATATATTAACTGCTGAGGTTATGGATGTAATTTAGAATCTGACTGACTTATTGGCAGAGATGAAAATGTGACAGGAAAGGACACTCATCCTTTTGCCCCAGTGGTAGTTTTGTCTGCCCAGATGTTATGACCACAACACACACACACACACACACACCCTTCCTTTCTCACTCATCATTTCGGCTGCTCTCATTTCCACACACCACTGACAGCTCATCACATCTACAGCTCAGTGTCACTCATTATTTTTTTTTAGATGTATATTGCTTTGCTCTCCCTCTCTTTATCTCTCCCCCATTGGCACTCCTACTAGCTGGTTTGTCGTTCACTGTCAGCATCATCTATCCGTCCTTTCTCACTCCCTCTCACCCTCTCTCCCTTTCTTCCCCACTTCCTCTCTAGCTCTACCACTTTCTCCTGTCTCTCTATATGTGTCTATCCTCCCCAGACATTTGCCCTTCATAATTACTTCTCAGCCTTCACATCCATCCATTCCACAACGCCAGTAATGATTTTAATACCCGCCACAGCAAACATAAAGATCCTGCCGGCTTCATGTCTCCTCTAAAAAATCGATAAAGACTCTTGGGTGAGCTCTACGTGAGCATGCCACACTGTATTAATTGGGGACTTATCACAAAGAAGGGCATGGAGAGGGAGAGAGATTTAGTGGGAAAGAGAAACCCAGAGGATGGTGATGGATGAAGATTCAAAGGGGGGCTTACAGGAAGGAGAACGAGAGAATGGAGCAGGGATGGAGACAAAAACAAATTCTCTAATAGCCTGGATAACAATGCAGTTGACTTACATAAACACACACACACGTGCTATATGTGCGATGCCAAGGTTTCACATGAAATTATCTACACTCTCCTCTGGTCCTCTCGCTTCTCTCTTGGCAAGACAATACCATTTGGAGCTCACCATTTAATTAACCGTGAAATGCTTCCTTTAAAGGGAATAACACACACTCACTAACACACCGAACAGGCTTTTGTTACCCAAAGACAAAACAATGCACGGGGGACAGATGATTGTTGTGTGTGCGTGCGTTTCTGAAAGGAGGAGGAAAATTAAAAAAAACAACATGTTGTCAAAATTAAATCAGCCCCCTCAACAATAGCTTGATAGACAGGCCTATAAAACAGTTTATAATGGCTCCGAGCGGGGAAGCAGGAGGGCAGGGAGAAAGCTCACAGGGTTTTTCTCTCTGTGAAAAACAATGTGCAGTCTCTCTAGGAGGCCAGTGGTATAATTACAGTCGACGGATAAAAGATACAGGAGCCTCACTAACTCACAACCAGAGAAAATCTTACTGTTATTCAGCCTCACTCGGCTCTGAGATAAATGTGTGTTGTTACAGTAAAGCTGAGTGTGTGCGCGCGTTCAAACTATAACAAAGATGAAGGAGTGTGTAGCGTGAAGTTGTTTAATTCCTTTGTTGTCAGTGTACAGTGAATATTCACTTTTTACTAAAGTGAAGTTTGACAGAGTTAGTAACATGACCTGATTTACATTTATTAGTAGAAGAACAACCATTTTTTGGTTCTATTTCATCTCGATTTTGTCTCTTCAGTTGTTGTCAACTTTCTACTGTGCTCTCAAAAACAGAAACAAAGTATATTAAAAAGTACTTTAAAAAAGAAAACTCCTCAGGATATATCAATGTCCAGTTTCCCGGTGAAAATCTGCATCATTTTTGTTCCTGAGGCCGGCACGTCCCGTCTGCTGTACCTCACAAGCTTCTTCTGTCTGCATGACACATCTGTTGTGTGCTCAAATTCCCATTCACATCAAATGAAAGCTCCACAATGCAATTGATGTGTGTTGCATTTAAGGGTTGTTCAGAGAGCTCAGAGTTTCAGCATAGTGAGAAACAGTTTTTATTCAATTAATTCAAACTAAATCCTAAACTGACTCTTGAGACAAAGCATCAGTTACATTGAGCAATTCATATGCTTGTACTATAAGTTATGCAGTCAACATTCTCCTACCTGCCTGATAATGAGGAAGACGTGATTTTGTATAGTTGATCAACCCTGGGGGAAGTACCAGATGTTTCTAACCTTCTGTAGTTTAGAGATTAATTGAATGAGTGAGTTTTATGCATATATTATGAGACAACAGCCCTGGGTGTTTACTGCACCCTTTTGTGGTGTCAGTGATGATGGTGTCATATAAGAAAGGTCACGTCCTCCAAAGTGAGAAATCTGGTTGGTTGTGATTTCTTGTCGTTTGCTCTGTGGGTACATGAGAGCATCAGTCTAACACCTAAAATAACCATACGTCTTTCTGTCAACATGGAACCATTTGTGATATCCTGTGTTTTCTGACTTTGTGTGTTTCTCACAGAACTCCATGAAGGTGATGTTCAAATGCCTGTGGAAGAACTGTGGCAAGGTGCTGAGTACAGCTGCTGGCATCCAGAGACACATCCGTACCATCCACCTGGGGTAAGTCACCAAAACACACACACACACACACACACACACAACCCCACACACTGCATACCATAGCTACAGTCCACTCAAAACCTCCAAAACATCTGTGACACTTCCACTCTCACCGCTCAATCAGCTTTGTTGCCAAAGCAGCAGATTAACAGCTGATGAATTATCACCACGTTAACACTTCCTGCTCTGGGTGCGAGCGAGGAGGTGACAGGTGAAAGGAAAATGAGCCAAGTGGAGAACAATGATATCACACATTCAATTAAACTGAGGCCGCTCTGTATTACACTGATTAACTGCAGGTGACAGTGTTTTGTTGGTCGGAGGAGTGACGTTAATGTTGAAGAGGGGATGGCGGTTGTGTGTAATTGCATTGACACGTTTTGCTTTACATCGTACATGTAGAAAACCAGCATTCTTATGGAAATTCGTCCTTATTTCCCTCTAAATATTTTCTTATGTTTTTAGGCGTAACTGTGACTCGGACTGCAGCGACGGCGAGGAGGATTTCTACTACACGGAGATCAAGCTCAACACGGACTCGGTGGCCGACGGGCTGAGCAGCCTGTCCCCCGTGTCCCCGTCCGTCCTCTCTCCCCCTCCTCCTCCCCCCTCTCCTCTCCCTTCTCTCAGCCAGCTGCCGGACTCCCACAGACCTCCGCAATCTTCTGACCCCAAGGAGCCTCACGCTGGCGGCACCACCCCGCTCAGCCGCTCTGCGCCTAGCGCACTCTACCTCATCCACACGGACCACGCCTACCAGGTTAATGCAACGTACAGCACACTCAGTCATACTCAACATGAGGATACAGGGATCGATGCACTCTGTGGATCAATATACACACCACAACACACTTATCAGGCCACACACAAAATGCACATATTTTCTCTCACACACTACTATCAGGGTCCTCATTATCCTGATTATGTATCGCAGTGTTTACAAAAAAACTAATGATGTCACAGCGACTTCTGGTCCCTCGCTCCCGTTAGCAGCTGTGCTAACAGTTGTGGTATATCGACACACAGCAGTGGGTTTGAACAAGTAATTGTAGACGGAATAATGACACACTAAATCAATTCTAACCAAGATATCTGTCATATTAATCTGTGAGTCTGAATGTGACAGCTACGTGTGTATAGCTCCATGTTTTACCGGTAATAGAAGTTATTAGTGTTTAATTGAGACACCTAAAGCGGCTCTCAAAATCTTTAGACATTTAGTGCAACCAAACATTACCATTTGTGAATGACGGGAGCAATTTGGAGGCGCTCACTTGTGTTAAAACATTTGTCTAAGGAATTGCAAGGAGCTAAATTATTTTAGAGTGACGTCTATTGTTTAAATTAATTAAAATGAAAGGCCTTGACACAGCTCTAGATACTACTGCACAAGCTTTCTTTTCAGCCACACCGATAATAGAAAACAAAACAAAAACCGTTCTTATTGAAAGTAAAAAGTGAAACACAAAGTGCTTCAAACCGAAGCAAACCAAGCGTGGTCGGGGCTTCGAGAATGAAAAATTCTTTGGGGAGGGGAAGCAGAAATACTCAACATACATTCTTCCATTTTGCCAATACTGCTATTTTGACCTTTGACCTCTGCCCTCAGGCCACGGCTCCAGTGTCCATCCCGTCCAGCAACAGTAACTCGGCCGGCTCAGCCTCTACCAGCTTCACTCCCACCAACAGCTCCAGCTTTAGCATCTCCTGGCAGTCACCGCCCGTCACTTTCACTGGGAACTCGGTGAGGAACCTTTAATGCACGTGGAACACCAAGCAGACACGATTCCATTTTAGTTCTTATAATCACAATCTGCCTTCTTCAGGTGTCGCCCAGCAAAAGCCAGGGCTTCGGTGAACAGCGCTCCCAGACCATCGCCGTCCTCTCGTCCCCTCCTAGAGCAACCACCGCCCTCAGGTACTGAATCCTCACTGCTCGCTGAGTCTTATGTGACATTACCTTTATAGCTTCAATTAAAGGTCCAGTGTGTAGAATTTAGTGCCATCTAGCAATGTAATTGCAGAACGCAACTCCCTACTTCACCCTCACCTTCCAAGTGCGAAGGAGAAACTATGGTGGCTACAAAACGCACAAAAAACACAAAGGCCCCCATCTAGAGCCAGGGTTTGTCCTCTCTGGGCTACTGTAGAAACATGGTAGTTCAACTTGCCAGACTCCATGGAAGGTGACCCACTCTGTCTGTAGATAAAAACAGATCATTCTAAGGTAACAAAAACAGTTCTTATATTCAGGTGATTATACACTAATGAAAACATTGTTATGCATATTATATTCAATTTCTGCCAGTAGATCCTCCTTAATGTTTCACACTGGACCTTTTAAAGGCCAACAAATTGAAAGCTCATGTTAGATATTACCAAGAAACGCATCCAAAGCGGTTTTCTACTTGCATTAAACCTTACTGACTGAAAATAACCTCATGTGAAAGATGGAATATTGACTCTCACAAATAAGCTCTCAATTAAAAAGAAGCCTTGATCAGTTC